CACGCTCCCTGTACTGGGGAACCTGGTCTGCAACCCAGGCATGTGCCCTGATAGGGAATTGAGCTGGCAATCCTTTGGTTCACAGGCTGGCCCTCAATCCCCTGAGCCACACCAGCCAGGGCAGATGATTAATTTTTAATAAGGGGGTAGACTCTGACTGAATTATTAAGGACTGAGCTTGAATACAGTTAGAACACAGGTGGCAAACACAAGGCCCAAGGGCCGAGTTTGGCCCTCTACCTTGTTTTATCCGGCCTGGCACCTTGTTTACCCAGTAGAAGTGCCAAGCTCCTTGCCCCTAGTTAAGGAGTAGTTACATTTACACAGTCCTAAATTGATATTCAGCCCTTTGAAGGCAACCGCAAGGCTGGTGTGGCCCCCGGTGAAAATGAGTTTGACACCCCTGAATTAGAACCTAAGAACAGAACAGTCAGGCAAAAACAAACACGCAAAAAAACCCCAAATAGTTCATAGACATTTAGTTTATGCTGTTACCCTCTGCATGAAAGCCAGAACCATATTCATACAAATCTGTAGTGAATCACCAGACTCCATTTTTTAAGTATATTTTGTTAATTATGCTATTACAGCTGTCCCATTTTCTTTCTTCTCTTTATCCTCCTCTGCCCTGCACCCGCCCCTTCTACCAGCATCTCCCCGCCTTAGTTCATGTCCTTGGGTCCTACATATAAGTTCTTTGGCATCTCCATTTCCTGTACTTTTCTTAACTGCCTCCCTGTCTATTTTGTACCTACCATTTATGCTACTTGTTCCTGTTCCTTTTTCCCCATTCTCCACCTCCTCACTGATAACCCTCCATGAGATCTCCATTTCTGTGATTCTATTCCTACTTGTTTGCTTAGTTTTTGTTTTTGGTTTTTCGGTTCAATTGCTGATAGTTGTGTTCTTTTTTGTCATTTTACTGTACATGTTTTTTTTTTCTTTTTTCTTTTTTTTCTTTTTATTTTTTAATTTTAACTAATTTTATTTAGTTATTTTTCAAGTACAGTTTTTTGTACATGTTTTTTAATCTTCTTTTTCTTAGGTAAGTCCCTTTAACATTTCATATAATAAGGGCTTGGTGATGATGAACTCCTTGAACTTGACCTTATCTGAGAAGCACTTTATCTGCCCTTCCATTCTAAATGAAAGCTTTGCTGGATAGAGCAATCTTGGTTGTAGGTCCTTGCCTCTCATGACTTGGAATACTTCTTTCCAGCCCCTTCTTGCCTGTAAGGTCTCTTTGGAGAAATCCGCTGACAGTCTGATGGGGACTCCTTTGTAGGTGACTGTCCCCTTATCTCCTGCTGCTTCTAGGATTCTCTCCTTCATTTTAATCTTGGCTAATGTAATTATGATGTGCCTTGGCGTGTTCCTTCTTGGGTCCAACTTCTTTGGGACTCTCTGAGCTTCCTGGATTTCCTGGAAGTCTATTTCCTTTGCCAGATTGGGGAAGTTCTCCTTTATTATTTGTTCAAATAAGTTTTCCACTTGTCGCTCTTCCTCTTCCCCCTCCGGTACCCCTAGAATTCAGATATTGGAGTGTTTAAAGATGTCCTGAAGGTTCCTAAGCCTCTCCTCATTTTTTTTTGAATTGTTGTTTCTTCATATTTTTCTGTTTGTTCCTTTTTTTCTTCCTTGTGGTCCACTCCCTTGATTTGAGTCCCATTTTCCTTTCCATAACTATTGGTTTCCTGTGCATTTCCCTTCATTTCAATTAGCTTAGCCTTCGTTTGTTTCTCTAATTTGTGACTAAAATCAACCAGTTCTGTGAGCATCCTGATCACCAGTGTTTTGAACTGTGCATCTGAAAGTTTTGCTATTTTTTGGGCACTTAGCGTTATTGGCTCCGGGGGGTTGAGATCTTCTTGAGCCATGTTTTGGTCTGTTTGAGGCTGTTACGTATGAGGAGGGGAGCCTTAGGTGTTCTCCAGGGTGGGCCGCCCAGGTCGCTGGGTTGTGACCCTGTATTTGGGGGTGGGGTCAAAGAGGGGCAATGGCGGTCCCCTCTGCTGCTTCCCGCTGCTGGGCCTGCGCAGTCTGTCTCAATCCTCGCTTCTTAGCTGGTTTTCTTGCGCGAATGTTTGACCACGGTCAGCCTGCTGCCTTGCGCCCTCACTGGGTCTGTCCGTTGCAACTCCATGCCTGGGATCCACCAACCGCCGCCCACGCGCCTGGTTCAGTCTGGTCTAGTTTTCCTGTGCAACCCTGCTCTGCCGGTCGCTTACTCCACCCCTCTTATCGATCTGGCTGAAGGGTTCGTTGTTGTTGGACTTCAGTATAGTTCAGTATTCTGTGTTTTGGCTGTGTTTATTGTTACTAAAACTTTGTTGTCTTTAAACTTGGTTGTGCGAGTAGGTATAGTGTTTCCACCTACGCCTCCATCTTGGCGGAAGTCCTCCTGAGAAGCACTTTATGTGCTCTTCCATTTTAAATGAAAACTTTGCTGGATAGAGCAATCTTGGATGTAGGTCCTCACATTTCATGACTTGGAATACTTCTTCCCAGCCTCTTCTTGCCTGTAAGGTCTCTTTTGAGAAATCATCTGACAGTCTGATGGAAACTCCTTTGTAGGTGACTATCCCCTTATCTCTTACTGCTTCTAGGATTCTCTCCTTCATTTTAATCTTGGCTAATGTAATGATGATGTGCCTTGGTGTGTTCCTCCTTGGGTCCAACTTCTTTGGGACTCTCTGAGCTTCCCGGACTTCCTGGAAGTCTATTTCCCTTTTGCCAGATTGGGGAAGTTCTCCTTTATTATTTGTTCAAATAAGTTTTCCACTTGTGGATGTTCCTCTTCCTCTTCTGGTACCCCTATAATTTGGATGTTGGAACGTTTAAAGATGTCCTGAAGGTTCCTAAGCCTCTCCTCATTTTTTTGAATTCTTACTTCTTCATTCTTTTCTGATTGGATGTTTCTTTCTTCCTTCTGGCCACGCTGTTGGTTCGAGTCCTAGTTTCCTTCCCATTACTGTTGGTTTCCTGTACATTTTCCTTTATTTCACTTAGCGTAGCTTCGTTTTTTTCATCTAATTTGCAACCAATTCTGTGAGTATCCTGATCACCAGTACTTCGAAGTGTGCATTTGATAGGTTGGCTACCTCTTCGTCCCTTAGTTGTATTTTTCCTGGAGCTTTGATCTGTTCTTCTGTTTTGGCCATTTTTTTTTTGTCTTGATGTACCTGTTATGTAGTGAGGGGTGGAGCCTTAGGTGTTTGCTTGGATGGGTCAACTCATTTGCTGGTTGTGATGCTGTATGTGGGGCAGGCATCTGAGAGGGAGCAATGGCGCTTGCTCTGCTCTCTGCCAGATTTCAATCACTTCTGCTGCTTCCCTCAAGCAAACTGGGCCCTTCTGGTGCCAATTCCCATGTGGGTGAGCTTGTGTACGTTCTAGGACCCTGTGGGTCTCTCCAACGAACTCTCCTGTGAGGCTGGGTGTCTCTCCAGGCACCTCAACCCCCTCAGGTATTTTCAGTCAGTGTTTTGAGGCTTTATTTCTGGGTGCTGGAACCCTGAGTTCTGCAGTCTGTCTCACTCCCTGGTTTTACCTGGTTTATCTGCACGTGAATGTGGGACTGCCTGGTTCTGCAAGCCACCTTGCACACCAACCCCCTCCACAATATGCCGCCTCACTGGGTCTTTCTGCTGCCACCTGCTGCTCTACGTGCCTGGGTCCACCAGCCAGCGCTTTTTTTTTTTTTTTTTTGCCGTGACCCCTCTCTGCTCAGCCACCTGACTCTGCCCCTCCTACCAGTATGGATGAATGTGTCTACTTTAACTCCTTGGTTGTCAGACTTCCAGTTTTCCTTGGTCTTCCAATCTTTCTTGGTTGTACAGTTCAATTTTCTGTCAGTACTGGTTGTTACTTTGTTTCCAAATTTTTGTTGTCCTTATTTTGGTTGTGCGAGGAGGCACTGTGTGTCTACCTATCCCTCCATCTTGGCCAGAAGTCCAGCAATAACCTTTGGGCCATATTTTTTTGTCCCCACATGCCTGTTATGTGGTACGGGGAGGAGCCTTAGGTATTCACTAGGACAACCCACTTGGCTGCAGTTGTGACACTGTATGTGGGGGAGGTGTCCGAGAGGGAACAGTGCCTGTTGCTCGGCTCTCTTCTGCTTTCGGTGACTTCCCCACTACCCACAAGCAAATTGGGCTCTTGTGATTCTGGTTCCTGGGTGAGTCATTTTGTGTATGTTCTAGGACCCTGTGGGTCTCTTTAGCAAACTCTTCTGTGAGCCTGGGAGTTTCTCCTACTGCAACAACCTGCACAGAATTTTACAGCCAGAGGTTTTGAGGCTTTAGTTTCCTGTGCTGGAACCCCGGATTGCAGACTGTCTTGGTCCTCAGTTGTTCCTCCCAGTTTATCCACACACAAATATGGGACCGCCCGGTCTGTCAGCTGCCACCTTGCACACCCAGTTCACTGCCTTGCCCTGAGTCCTCTCCACCCACTGCTCCTCTCCACCCTTGGTACTGGTCTGGATGAATGTTTCTTTTTTAACTCCTTGGTTGTCGAACTTCCATAAAGTTTGATTTTTCTGGCAGTTCCAGTTGTATTTTGTTTTTATATTTGTTGTTCTTTTGGATGTTCAAGAGGGCACAGTGTATCTACTTACGCCTCCATCTTGGCCGGGAGTCCTCCAGACTCCATTTTAACCTGGGACCTGTCGCTCCCTTGCAAGTTGTTCTCCCCAAATGTCTCAGTAGGAAGCCAGCTGACTGATTCCATGTTCCACTCTGCCCATACATAGAGAAGTCTCTGGAGCTGGAGCATGGTGGAAGGTGAGGCAGATGGTTAGGGTGAAACACCAAAGACCAGTCCCAGCTGACTGCCCTTCCTCTGCTTGTCCCTTGTGATTCGATTTCTCTTCCCTGGTGCAGTGTGGGTTCTCAGCCTGCTGATGACTGAAGATCAGTTGGTCAGATGGTAGTTTGTGGTGTACACAAGAGACCCCTTTGTGGTTAGTAACAAATGGTCTCCCTTTCTGTCCCCAGGCTCCACATACAGCGTCTTATCCATCATGCCCTCAGACTCAGAAAGCAGCAGCTCCCTCAGCAGTGTGGGTGAGTACCTCTTTTCGGGGCACCCCTCCTTCCTAGAGATGACCAGGTAGGCCAGGGTCTGGGTGCCAGCCACGGCAACCCTGGGTTCATAGAGTGGGAAGTTGGCCCTCACCTTCCGTATCACTCATGGAGTCATATTACTCCATTCTCATTTTCTGTCATCAGCATGTCATCTCAATGGAGGAGGGCAGAAATCTGGTTCTGGCAGTAGACGGGAGCTGGGGTAGGCATAGGACTTCTCAGTCCCCTCACCCTCCCACCCATGCCAAGGCCACCTGTCCCTGAGGGTGGACCCTTTTGGGACTGTGCCTTGTGAGCAGGAACAGCCCACTAAGGTTGTTGCCTTGGGGACAGGAGAAGCTAGTCCATGCTGACATGGATGTTTTTCCAGAAGCCCGTAGAGAGGCCAGCCCTGCTTCCGCTTCTCTGAAGATGTCCCAGCAGGAAGACTGCCATATTTTCCCAGCTTTCCCACACCTTAGTGCCCTCTCTTTAACATCCTTAGTGCAGTTTCTGATGTCCTGACTGATCCTGATGGGTGGATCTACCTTCAGCGGTGAGTCCTAGAGTTTTTGAGTTGAAAGGGCTCCCAGAGATCATCTGGCTATGCTAAAGATTCCAGAACTAGCCAGGGGCAGACCTTTCATGTGTCATTTGACTAATACTATGGACCACCTACAGTGTGCCTGAAGTGGGCTTGTGATAACAGTGGTGAGTAGGCAGGTGTGGTTCCTGTGCTTGCAGATCTTAGGGTCTGTGGGGGAGAGAGTTAAATGAGTCAACATGAAAAGCGAGGTCAGACTGATCAGGAGAGGACAGATCCAGTAAGGGCACCATATTCATGAGAGCTGCCATTGTAAGGGCCACAGACCGAAAGGTATACATGCTCTCACAGTTCTGGAGGCTAGAAGTCTAAGAAGTCAAGACATTGTGTTGGCAAGGCCACGCCTCCTCTGAGGCTCTAGGGGAGGGTCTGCTCCAGGCTTCTGGTAGTTGCTGGCAGTCGTTAACGTTCCCTGGCTTATGGATATGTCACATTGTCTGTCTGAGCCTTCATCTGCACATAATGTTCTCTGTGTAAGTCTTTCCAAATTTCTCCTGAAAAAGGACATTAGTCATATTGGTTTAGGGACTAACCCTACTCCTCCAGTGTGACCTTCATTGTGATCATCTGTAAAGACTATTTCCAAATAAGGTCACATTCACATTTACCAGGGATTAGGACTTGAGCATCTTTTTTTGGGAAGACACAGCGCAGCCCCTCAGGGTCTTCTTCATCCTGTGTAGCATTTAGGGAGGACTTTTCTGGAAGTGTGGTTCAGATCTGCTTAGCATCACTTTGTCCTTCCTGTTTTGGACACATTGGTTGAATGCTGGAATTGTCAGAATTTTGAACTTAGCACTGGCTCTCAGGTAGCATGGGGTGGTACAGTCAGGGGAAGGAGAGCTCTAAGGTGGGGCTTTTGTAAAACTGAACTGATTGAGCCCTGAGTATGTACCTTTTGCCTTGCTCATGCTTCACCCTTTTCTGGTTCCCTGTTCTCTTGGGAACAAGGCACAATGATCTAACTAATTCACATCACATCGACACTTTTAAGTTAATCCAGTACGTTTTCTAACAGCATTTGCCTTTTAGAAGGGGACTCCAGGAAGAGAGAGGTCTTACGTAAACCACAGCAAGTATTGCTAATGGTGGGATTTCGAGCCAGAGCAGGAGGTGTTGTTCCTGCAGTGAACCTTTGCATGCTCTGGGAGAGACTTCATGTCAGTGGCCCTCCATCTGGTTCTCCACACACTCGGTGGCCCTCGGGACGGAGGGCTCAGCAGTGTCCCTGGATACTTGTTGGCAGGCAGGCAGAGAGCAGTGCTGTGTCCAGATCTTAAATGCTACGAGACCGGGTTGCATCCCTTCCGGTGAAACAAACCCTCTTGAGTTCACTGGGAACCAAGTTTTGTTGTTCTCGCTCCTCTGCATGCTGGTGACATTGTTCCTGGGGTAAGTGGCTCCATTTTTTCACAGGCTGAGGTCACAGGCTGACAATGTGTCCTCACGGCTGCAGCAGTAGGGATTACCTATGCACACTGCCTTAAACAACGAAGAAACGTGACCTCACATAATAAGAAGGGCAACTGGGCCGAGCCCGTTAGGATGTGGCTCTCTGATCCCCTCTGTGGTGCTTTCCCCTCAGGCTGACGGTCAGGGTACTGTAGTAGCATTTCTAGCCATACAGTGTCCTGGGCTCTGATGCCCATTATGGGAGCCACAGGTGGTTTTTGAATTTAAAGTAATTAAAATGAAATAAAATTTCTAGTTTGATCAGTCACATTAGCCACATATTTCAAGTTCTCTCTGGCCTGTTTGGGACTAGTGGCTACTATGTTGAACACAGCAGATAAACAAACATGTCTGTCGTCACAAACAGTCCCGAGGATGAGGAGGGTTGTCTCCTCTAGTGTGTCCTGATGAGCAAAGAAGCCTTTCCCAGAAGTCCCTCGGACAGTCTCTTCTCACTGACCACAAGTGAGTTGCTTGTCCGTGGCCAAACTGCCGGCCCTCCTAGAGTGGTCGCTGGGCCAGCAGCACTCAGGTGTGTGTTAGGGTGCAGGTTCCCGAGCTTCTTGTCATGCTTGCTCCGTCAGAAGCTCTGAGTGTGGGTTCTGCATCTACATGTAATAGCCCTCCTGGGGCTGGCCCCACCCAGGCCTTGGCAAGAGAACTGAAGTGCCTGTGCCTGGCTTGGACCAGCCCCTTGGTATGGAGTGAATGGTGGGGTCAGCCACAGGACCACTGCAGTGCCTGCCAGAGAATTCCTCCTGGTTCAGCCTTCACCCAGTGACAGGCAGAGCTCTTCCTTTTCTGGCCTTCACAGGTGCACCTTACCAGCACCCGCCTTTGCAGAAGGGGGTGCTGGTAACTCAGGTGGGGAGACTGGCTATGTTTGTTTGTGGTCTCCATGAACCTAAGGAAAGGCAAAAGCAAGGTCTTAGAATAAAAGTATCACTCCTACTTTTCCAGGTATATCTCCCTGACAAAGAACATTTGGGAAAAGAAGGGTAGCTTATATTCAGCATAAGAGAAATTGATAGATGAAGCCTGGAGGATATAGCATTTTCTTAGTGACTGCTGGTGCCCGGTCAGTTCCCCAGGTTAGCGTTAGACCCTTAGGTGGTCTGTTCCATTTTAGCTCTCCAGCTTGACTCTATAGACAGCTCACCTGCCTTTGCCATCTAATGGTCTTATAGGTTGCAGTGTCTTTCTACTGAGGCCTTCCCAGGCAGTTCTTATCAGCTGAGGGTGAGTGGCTTCTTTGAGTCCTTCCCCCATCCCACGCCACCCGTTATTGAGTAACCTGCCCCCTGGGTGGGCCCAGGTACTGCACACTTACTTTAGGCATTTCATATTTTTTGCTCTCCGCTCGTCTTTTATTTTTTTAAAAGATGGTATTTATTTATTGATCTTTTTAAAATATTTTATTTATTATTTTTAGAGAGAGGGGAAGGGAGAGAGAGAGAGGGGGAGGGAAACATCGATGTGAGAGAATCGATTGGTTGCCTCTTGCCCTAACCAGGAAGGGCCTGCAACCCAGGAAGGTGTCCTGACTGGGAATCAAACTAGTGTGACCTTTCACTTTGCGGGACGACACACACAACTGACTGAGCCAGGCCAGTCAGGGTTCCTCTCCATTCACCTTGATCTAATTTCCGTGGTGCCTTTTATTTCTCATCTTGAATAACTGGGAAAGTTAAGAAGAAACGTTCTTGGATGGCATTTATAAAATGGGACTTCAATTTCATGCAAATTGAAGTAACAAGAGAGACTTCTTACCACACAGAGAGTTCTCCTGGTTTGCTGGCAGGACAGGGAGCTGGTGACCCTCCTTCATATCTCAGCAAAGATTTTTTGAAAGTGCAACTTCTGCTTGACAAGGAAGGTGGAGGCAGTGCTGCACCCCAGCTCCTTGTGCCCTCTGACCTTTCCTTCTGTCGTCCTTTGGGTTCAGAGGCCTGTTTTCTATCAGTTCATCAGATGAAGGGAGCATGTGTGCAATTCTTATAGGGGTCACAGAGGGGCCTGGCCCCTGATCTTAGAGTCCAGTTAGTTGCCTCAGTCCATCAGACTGCTATAAGACACGGATGGATTAGAAACAAACGTTTATTTCTCACACTTCTAGAGTCTGGGAGGCTCAAGACCAGGCATTAAGGCAGATACAGTACCTAGTGGGGCTCATTTCCTGGTTCAGTGATGACCCCTTCCCACTGTATCCTCCAAAGTCAGGAGAGAGCTGTCAGGTGGGGTTCCTTTACGATGCACCGATCCCATCCATGAGGGCTCCAACCTCATGACCTAATCACCCCCAAAGGCCCCACCTCCTAATACTGCACCTTGGGGTTAGGATTTCAGTATAGGAATTTGGTGGGGGCACACAAACATTCTGACCACAGCAGCAGGGAGGTAAGCTACTGGCTCTCCTGCCCTGTGTAAAACAAACAAATAGCTCAGGGGAAGGGGCAGTTGTTTCTGGTGAGGGGCATCAACGTAAGTTTGAGGGAGGAGGGGGTCCTGGAGTTGGGCCTTCCAGGAGTGGTGCTCTGGATGCAAGAGCAGGCAGGAAGCAATAGGCCAACTTGTGTGTCTCTGAGTTTAGGATTCAAGAGCAAGGAGCTTATTTAGGAGGCGATCTGGGAGCTGGGCAAGGCTGCAGCTGCTGGTCGGACTCTAACGTTCTGTCCCTCTAAGGCCTTGGAGGAGCTGAGCTGTGGACTGGCACTGACCAGGGAGGGTGTCTCCCTGGGCTTCCACAGTGGGGAAGGGGCCTTCCCTGCGTTTCATCAATGGGTGATGCTTTTAACTGTAGTGCATACCAGACAGTCAATAAAATGAGGAAGGAAAAGCCATTCTGGCCAGCAAATGCAACTTTGGTCCAGACAAGAGGTTCTCTAACTTTATCAGACATCAGAATCTCCTAGAAGGGATCACTGGCAGCATTTCCGATTCAGTAAGTCTGGGTGAAGCCTGAAAGGTGCATTTTAAACAAGTTCTCTCCTGAAGTTAAGGTGGTTTTAGAAGCTCTGGCTCAGGGTGTGAGACTGTTTCCCCCATGGCTCTGGCTCTCCTGGGCTGGAGGTGAGGTTGGCTTGGCCTTGCCCTCTCCTGCCTGTGATGACCACGTTCTGCTGCTCCTTTGTTTCTCCCTGACTGCGAGGGCCTGGAGGTGGCCAGGAAGTTTACCTGGGCATCCTCACTCCCCCTGACTGCTTTTGGCCAGTACCAGCTTCCTCCTTGACTTCTAGCACCATGAGCCCACAGGGCCCTGAAGTAGAGTTATGGCCTGTCCAGCTGTAAATAAGACTGAGGGTACCGCTTTTGGGGCCGGCTGAAGCGTGGTAGTGAGGGAGCCAAGGACAAAGGGGGTTATGGCCAAGTAGACCACCTAGCTGCCAGGTTGCTTACTGGGCCTTCTGGCCTGTAGGGGGTGGCCACACCAGTGAGGGCCACCTGGAGGAGGAGCCAGACCAAGGCCCAGGTGAGTGACAGCTCTGTGTCCAGAATCCAGGGCCTGTGCCAGCTCTCCTGGCATCTCCCGCCACCCCTTTTGGGGCCATTTTTAGTGTGGTCAAATCCCTTATCCCCTGAATGCCATTTTGGACACTAAAAAGGAAAAGAAAATCTGCCTTCTTTACTGGGTCCCAGATTTGGAAAGGTGAAGGAGTGAAGCTGGGAGAGAGTGGACAGTTTTGCACTTGAATTCAAAAGAACAACTGTACTGGATGAGAGGGAGAAGAGGGCATTGGACGCTTTTTGGACAACTCCCTTGAAGTTAGTTTTATTTTGCTCATTATTTAAAATGTTTGTCATAACCGTGGTGACTGCTGAGGGGGTGGACAATTACCTCTTCACCAGTCACACCACTCCTGGGTTGATGGCTTCAGTTTAGGGTACCACAGGGTTTGTTTTTTTTTAACTTTTTAAAAGTCATTTTCAGATTTCTGGCCAAGATAGAGGTATAGGTGGAAACATTGTGCCTCCTCGCATAATCAAAATTAAGGACAACAAAGATTTAGAAACAAAAACACAACCAGAACAGATAGAAAATTGAATTGTACCAAAGTCCGACAACCATTCAACCCGACCCTTAAGAGGGGAGGAATTGGTGGCCAGCAGAGAGGGGTCTTGGCAGGAAAAGGTGGTGGCTGCCAGACCTGGGAGCACAGGCAGCAAGGGGCTGACTGTGGTCACACTTTGGCACGCAGATAAACTAGGCAAAAACAGGCAGCAAGACAGACTGAGCAACCCAGGTCTCCAGCACCAGGAAATAAAGCCTAAAAGTGCTGATTGAAAAGGTGCCAGGAGAGACCCCTAGCCTCACAGGGAAATTTGTTGGAGAGACCCACAGGGTCCTAGAATGTACACAAGCCCACCCAACGGGGATCAGCACCAGAAGGGCCCAGTTTGTTTGTGGGAAGCAGCAGAGGGCACTAAAATCTAAGAGAGAGAGAGAGAGAGGGAGAGAAACAAGCACCATTTTTCCCCTTTCTGACCCCGCCCCCATGCATAGCATCACAACTCAGTGACTGGGTTGCCCCGCCCTGGTGAACACCTAAGGCTCCTCCCCTAATACGTAACAGGCACAACAAGACAAAAACATTATGGCTCAAGAAGAAGAACAGCTGAAAGCCCCAGAGCCAATACTTCTAAGTGACCAAGAGGTAGCCAACCTATCAGATGTACAGTTCAAAACACTGCTGATCAGAATGCTCACAGAACTGGTTGATTTTAGTCACAACTTAGATGAAAAAATGAAGGCTACACTGAGTGAAATGAAGGAAAATGCACAGGGAACCAATAGTGATGGAAAGAAAACTGGGACTCAAATCAATGGAGTGGACCAGAAGGAAGAAAGAAACAACCAAACAGAAAAGAATGAAGAAACAAGAATTCAAAAAAATGAGGAAAGGCTTAGGAACCTCCAGGACATCTTTAAACACTCCAACATCTGAATTATAGGGGTGCCAGAAGGGGAAGAGGAACAGCCACAGGTGGAAAACTTATTTGAATAAATAATGAAGGAAAACTTCCCCAGTCTGTCAAAGGAAGTAGACTTTAGGAAGTCCAGGAAGCTCAGAGAGTCCCAAAGAAGGAAAGGTCATTTTTATTGAGGTGTAAGTTTACCCTTTTTAGTACATAGTTCAGTAGGCTGTGACAGACATGTGTGCATTTAACCGCTGTCACAATTAAGACACAGAACAATTTTTTCACCCCCAAATTTCCCTCTGTGGCTTTGTGGTTTGCCTTTCTTCCTCCCAACCCAGGGCTGGCAACCACTGGTCTTTTCTTCCTCTCTGGTTTCATCTAGTCCTGGGTTGCACAAGTGGAGCCACATAGTGTAAAGCCTTTGCAGCCTGGCTTCTTTCAGTTGGCGCATCAGGCATTTGCCATTCCCCTGCGCTTTTGTGTGTATTAGTGGTTTGTATCAGTCGTCCATTCCTTTTTATTGCTGAGTAGTATTCCATTGTGGGGATGTAATCCTGTTTTATCCATTCACACGCTACTGTAAACACTCGTGTGCTGGTTTTTTGTGAACATAAATTTTCATTTCTCTTGTGTAAATACTTTGAGGGAGATTACTGCGTAGTATGGTAAATGCATGTTTAACTTTATAAAAGACCGTCAAAGTGTTTTCTGAAGTGGATGTGTCATTGCGTATCCCCACCAGCAGTGTTTGAAATTTTCAGTTCCTCTGCATCCTTGCCAGCACTTGGAAAAAGGGAGCTGTACGAAATATCTAGCGCTGGTCAGGGGAGAGTGGAGAAACAGCCCCGGGACCCCAGCTTTGGAGCCAGTCACCTCGGTCCTCAGGATCTTTGCTGGGTTCCAGCGGGATCTTCTTCCTCAGGCTGTGTCTTCTGCTCTGCTCAGGGCTCAGATTGGCCCCTCAGTGCCCAGGGGCGGGTGATCGCTGGTGCTTCCAGACAGGCAAGGATGCGAGGATTCGGGCCCAAACAGTTTCACCGAGAAGTGTCACAGCTGGGTTGGGAGGAGTGGGGGTCCTCAGAGTTCTTAGCCAGGGCCAGCAGGGTGGAGGGTGAGTGTGTGGACACTGGGGCCAGACCGCCTGACCCTAGGTCTTTATTTCACCTCTTACCCTCTGACTTGGTGTTGTCATCTGTGATAGGGGTGCTAACAGAATACACCTGGTCGGGCTGTAGGGCGTGACTAAGGCCAAAAGTCAGAACAGCGCGAGGCACCTGGTGATGCTCTCTGAATGCCAGTTCACTTTATTATTTTCCTCTTGCCAGGAACCACCGGGAAAGCGCCCTCCCCACCGCCCCTCCTCACTGACCGCCAAGTGAACGAGAAGGTGGAGAACCTCTCCATTCAGCTGCGGCTGATGACCCGAGAGAGGAATGAACTGCGGAAGCGCCTGGCCTTTGCGGCCCATGGGACGACCTTTGACAAGAGGTAGTGTGGTGATTGGCCAGCTCCCCCGCTGAACACACTCACCAGCGGGCAAGGGTTATTATCCTGATGCCATCACCACCCCTCCCCACCAAAGCGGGGTGGTCTTTGGCTCCGGGGAGAGGGGTACAGATTTGTTCTGCTTCCTCCAAATTAAAATTGCAGCCCATGGCCTGAATCACACAACTCGAGGATTGAAAGATGTGACACAAAGGTGTGTCTGTAACAAGTCTGGCCCCCGATAGTGTGTGCGTGTGTGTGTGCGTGTGTGTGTGTGTGCACGTGTGTGTGTGTGTGTGTGTGTGTGGCAGAGAGCCTGGGGTTTGCCTCCTCGCCTTTCTACTGGCCTTGCAGATGATTGTTCAGTGGCAGCAGCTGCAAGGGCCTGGCCCTACCTTGGTACTCCTCAGTGGTCGATTGGAAGGCCTTGAGTTCATCATTGCTGCCCTCTAGGTCTCTGTCTTCCAGGACCAAGACAGTACCCTTCCCTCTTTGTCCCCTGCTGCTGCTGTGTGCAGCGCCTGCCCTAATAGAGACAGCCATCCCATTGCTGAGCCCCATGAGGGTCCGCCTCTGTGTGTGTGCATGTACCACTCTCTCCCAGAAGATCCCTGCCTGCCTCCTATTGGGTGGGTCTTTATGTCATTTGTGCACACATTAACTCTACCTTCCCATGTTTGTATTTTAGAAAGGGTATATTCCACCCAACCTCTTTGTTTTGAAGAAAATCTTTGATTGCTTCTTTTGCCAGGGAAGGGCAGTCCAGCAGGTGGGCAAAGGGAGACTCTTTACCCACCTGCATGATCCAAGGGGGCTTCATGGAGGGGGGAGGGATGCAAAGTTTATCCTTCCAGGAAATCCTGGAGGGGTCCTGAGTAGTTTAATCTCTTCCCTTTAGGACAGGGGTGTCAAACTCATTTTCACCAGGGACCACATCAGCCTCGTGGTTGCCTTCAAAGGGCTGAATATAATTTCAACTCCTTAACAGTTAAGGGGTAGTTACATTTATACAGTCCTAGAATTATCTCGGCCCTTTGAAGGCAACTGTGAGGCTGATATGGCCCCCGGTGAAAAGCATCAGGGTGTGTGCCGTGCTCCAAGGAAGGTTCCTCTGGGGGAAGTGTCAGCACTGCAAAGCCTGCTCCTTGAGATTGCTTTGATGAGCTTATGCCCCAATCAGATGGCACAAAAGGCAGGGCCTGTGAAGACAGGGAGGGTGCACTGGAGTGCATGTTTTCACTGCTGCTTTCATGCTACCAAGCAGAGTGTGTGGTTGCATAGCAGCCGTATGGCCAGCAGAGTCCGAAGTGTTCATGGTGTGTTCTTTACAGAAAAGGTTTGCTGATGCCTGCTTTAGGGCAGGTGTTCTCAAACCTGAGCATGCAGTGGAATCACCTGGAGACCTTGTTAAAGCACAGATTGCTAGTTAGTTCTCCCTCTGTCGCTCCATAGTGTCTCTGATTGAGGAGTTCCGGGGCTGGCTTGACAATTTGCATTTCTAACAAGTTCCCAGGTGATGCCAGAGCTGCAGGTCCTGGAACCCCACTTTGAGAACCACTGCTCTTCGTCACTGTTCTCAGCTTTGGCTGCACTTTGGAATTGCCTTGGAGCTTAAATAATAATCCTGATATCTGAGTCCCACCTAACAGTTGCTGATGTGATTGGCCTGGGGGGTTTTAATGTATACCCGAGATAGAGAATCACTGGTCTAGAGAGTGAGGAGACTTTATCACAGGTTTTTTTGGTGGACCCACTGCTGTGCAGGCCTGTCACAAGGTTTCTTGGAAACTACCGGATGGTACTTTCTCAGCTCCCCAGGCCCTGTGCTCCTGCACAGGCAACCTAGGGTCGCTCCATGCTGGGGATTCTGATTCTGTTGGCCTGGACGTGGCTAGGACATCTGAGCTTAATAAGCATGCAGGTGATCACGGTGCGTAGGAGACCAGTATTTGGGACTCAGTGGGCTGCAGTAACCTAGGACGTGGCTTCTGGAGGGAGGGACATTCCATGTCAGTGTGTTCACAGTGCCGTTTACTGTCTGGGCCAGGCCCTATCACAGGCTGAATCCTGACTACGAGAGGCTGAAGATTCAGTGTGTGCGGGCCATGTCGGACCTGCAGAGTCTGCAGAACCAGCACACCAATGCCTTGAAGAGGTGTGAGGAGGTGGCCAAGGAGACCGACTTCTACCAGTGAGTGGGGCCTGCCTGGGGAGGGCTCCAGGATCCCAGAACAGCTCCCTCTGACCCTTCCCTATTTCTGGACTTGGAGCCAGGCCTTCTGGTCCTCGCCCTGCCTCTGCCGTGTAGTGAGTAGTGTGCCTTCAGCAAGTGGGTTTATGTCCTTGGGCCTCAGTTTTCCTAAGTGCAAAGTGAGGCTGTTAACCCTTCACACCATCGATTGCCACCCTCAGATGCATGGCAGGTTAGAAGATGGCTGAAAACATGAGACTGAGGGCCAGGCAGACCCCTGGGCTTCTGGGTCACTGTCCAGGGGCTCTGCTGCAGCTCTTGCCACAGGGGAGGCAGATGGGGTGCATTCCCTTTTGTTCTCCTGGTGTCTCTCTGAGGGTGTTTGCCTGCCTAGCAGCTGGTGTTTGCTCAGGCCTAAGTACCTCAGTACTTGGAGGTGCCAGGTTTGTTTTCCAGGTAGAGGAATCTCTCTCTCTGTCATATATGTACCCATTTTGGTGTCAGGTTTTTCACAAGTGGTTTGGGTCCTTCCAGCATCTGGTTGACAGCAGGCTTTGGTCTGCCCCCGAGTACTGAGGACTCAGCCACTGTTGCTCCCCAGCTGGTATATTGGGAGTACTGGGCTCTGGGGGGGCAGGTGATGCCTTGGGGTGGGGGCTGGAGGCTGCCTGGGGCTCACTGTGTGTGGGGGGATTTCAGCACACTCCACAGCCGGCTCCTGAGTGACCAGACCCAGCTGAAGGATGACGTGGACATGCTGAGGCGGGAGAACGGGCAGCTGCTGCGGGAGCGAAACCTGCTGCAGCAGTCGTGGGAGGACATGAAGCGGCTCCACGAGGAAGACCAGAAGGAGATTGGCGACCTCCGGGCCCAGCAGCAGCAGGTAGAGCTGGGCCAGGTGGCTGAGGGCAGGCCAAGTCCAGTCACCCACCCACCCATCTACACATTCACTTATCTACTGATCATTTAGCTAGTATTTCTGGAGCGTCCACCTCATGTGAGGCATTGGGGTATCTGTGTGCAAACCCTCAGCCCTCTCTCACGGACTCTGCAGTCCAATGGGGAGACAAATGTTAATCAATAATCACACATATCTTTTATTATGAATGTTGCAACACCGTGAAGGAGGAGGTACCATGCAATGTGTAACAGAAATTAGATTTACTCTGGGACTTGGGGGTCTGGCGGTCTGTAGCTTTTTTCCTTTGTATGGGTCACATGAGATTACGGGTGGAGGGAATCTTGGAAATTTTAAAGCCCTGTACAAATACAAGATGGAACAGTTATCATCTTTATTTTGGGTGGGAGTGTGGCCTATGGCCCTTGCTGCTCCCTGCATTCCAAGTTCGATTCTTTGCTGTGCTCAGCTTTTGTTTCACGTTGATAAAGGCGCTGGGAGCAGGCTGGTCAGAACTGGCTTGCTGTGAGTGATGTTGATCCCGTCTCTTGAAGCTACCAGGGCTGCCCAGGGATGCGGCCCAGCTGACGGCATGCTCTGTGTCCACAGGTGGTTGGATGTGTGGGGTTGGAAGGCAGTCCCAGGGGGAGGCAGTGTGTTCTCTGAGCTCTGCAGCATAGCTCGGACTAGGTAGAGGGCTCCTTCCCCCTCGGAATCATTATGGTTCCCAGAGTTCAAGCAGGACTGCTGGGGCTTGCTCGATAGTTTGGAACAATCTGACCTTACCTGATAATTTAGCATGATGTTATCTAACTTCATCGCTTTTTCATTTATAATTAAAAAATTTTAAATTGCAAAACTACCACGTTACAGAAGAGTTTTAAGTACAGTGCAGAGAATTTTCCTCCCTTAACTCAGCACTGAGTTTTCAACCAGATGCCCCGTCGCCCCTGCACATGCTAATGTATACTTCTTACAAACAAGGGTGTCTGGTATAATAGCAACATAAACACTGTCAGGGAGTTAACGTGCAGACTGCCAACTGGTCAGTCATCAGACCCGCTCATGTTTTGCTGGTTGTTTCAATAGTGTCCTTTAGTAGGAAAAGAATCCTGTCCGAAATAAAGTGTTGCATTCAGTTGTTGCATCTCCGTGGTCTTTTAAAATCTGGAGCAGTTCCTCTGGCATTGACCTGCATGACCTTGATACCTTGGAAGATTTCAGGCCAGGCCAGTTATTTTGTAGGCTGTCCCTCCTCCTGGATTTGGGTGTCTCATGTTTTGATACCCGTTCCGCATCTTAGGCAGGCCTGTCACAGAAGTGATGCTATCTTATCCTCTTTGCATCCTCTTGGTTGGGACGTGGCTTGGTATCACCTGTTACTGATGATGTTCACCTTGATCACTTGACTGAGGTGGTGTCCCAGGCTTCTCTCCTGTAAAGTTACTTGTTTTCCTTTTGTGTATCTACCTACCTGTTTACTCATGGTTTCCTGTTTTTATCCAGTGGGTTATGATCCACTGTGGCTAGTAGGAGCCCTTTGAAGCTTGCTTCTCCATCTTTTTGTCACGTCCTCCTTAATCTTTGAGTGCTTCCTTGCTCTCTGGCAAAAGATATTCCAGGCTTATTTTATAATTTCCCTGGAAAATCAGCCACTGCTCCAAAGAGTCCCCATTCCTTTTCGTGGAGAATGGTCTTTAGCAGCCATAGCTGGGTGTCCTCATGGCTACTGCGACATCCGTCACGGTCCCCAGGCCCTCTTGGTGGACAGAGTAGGGAACATCTGAGCGCACCTCTGCACCCCACACTCCCACCTCAGTATTCCCCGCTCTCCCTCCCCCTCGTGCATCTGTTTCTGTGTCTGTATCGTCAGTATCTAATATGTATCAAAATTGTTGGTTTGCTCACACTAACACTTTCAGGTTCAATCCAGTGCTACAACGCCACAGGGTTCATTCCAGTTTTCTCTTTCCATTTTTGTAATTCCCTTTTATAGCAGTATGAAAACTGGTTCCTATTACTCTTATTTTTTTATTGATTGATTTTAGAGAGAGAGAGAGAAAAGGGGAAGAAAGAGAGAGACATCAATTTCTTGTTCCACTTATTTATGTATTCACAGGGGGATTCTTGTATGTGTCCGGATCGGGAGTCCAACTCACAGCCTTGGTGCATCAGGATGATGCGCTAACCCAGTGGTCTCCAAGCTTTTTGGCACCAGGGACCAGTTTCGTGGAAGACAGTTTTCCATGGACCCGGGTGGTGGGAATGTATTCAGGATGGTTCAAGTGCATTGTGTGCAAGCTCACCTCCTGCTGTGCGGTCCGGTTCCTGACAGATCTGGACTGATACTCGTCTGTGGCCCAGAGGTTGGGGACCCATGCTCTTACTCACTGAGCAAGCCAGCCAGGGCCTGGTCCTTATTATTGCTAACCTGTTTACTTACTTGGTCAGCCCCACCGTGTGCTCTCCTCCCACCTCCGCTGTAGCTCCTCCCCGCACCACCCCTTTCTCAGCCCCTCAGCCCCCGGGCTTCACGCCTTTCGTCCCCTAGGCCTTCCCTCCTCGTGCCCCCCATCCTGTGGGGGCCCCGCGGCCCACGCTGGGCACCAGCGGCAGCCCCGCCCTGTTCTGCCTCACTCGTGGCTGGTAGGTCAAACTGTTCAGAAAGGGGAGGGGTAGGACTTTTAATTTTTTGTAACGTAATAAAAGAATCCAACAATACAGACATTTTAAAAATAAAAAGTAAAATTCTTTCAGTTGTCTCACTCCCAAGAAATGACCACCATAGGTATACTACCAGTGAAAAGTTTGAGATATTTTATATGTGCACATAGAACCCTTGTATCTTGTTAATTTATTTCACAAGATGGAATCATACATGCGATCTGTGCTTTTTTTTTCTGAATATATATCGGAACATCTTTCTATTTTAATACAAATTCTGCTTCCGTGTTTCTTTGTTGTTTTTGTTGTTGTTTTGTTTGTTTAAAATATATTTTATTGATTATGCCATTACAGTTGTCCCATTTCCCCCTCTCATTCCCCTCTACCCAGCATATCCTCTCCCTCCCACATTCCCCCCCCTTTAGTTCATGTCCATGTGTCTTAAGTTCTTTACCTTTTACATTTCCCACACTATGCTTGCCCTCCCCCTGTCTATTTTCTGCCTGCCATCTATGCTACTTACTCTCTGTACCTCTCCCCATCTCTCCTCCTCCCACTCCCCTGTTGCTAACCCTTCATGTGATCTCCATTTCTGTGGTTCTGTTCCTGTTCTAGTTGTTTCCTTAGTTTGTTTGTATTTTAGGTGTGGTTGTTAGTAATTGTGACTTTGCTGTCATTTTACTATTCATATTTTTTATCTTCTTTTTCTTAGATAAGCCCCTTTAACATTTCATATAATAAGGGCATGGTGATAATGAACTCCTTGAATTTGATCTTATCTGAGAAGCACTTTATCTGTTCTTCCATTCTAAATGAAAGCTTTGCTGGATAGAGCAATCTTGGTTGTAGGTCTTTGGATTTCATGACTTGGAATACCTCTTTCCAGCCCCTTCTTGCCTGTAAGGTCTCTTTTGAGAAATCTGCTGACAGTCTGATGGGAGCTCCTTTGTAGGTGACTGTCCCCTTATCTCTTGCTGCTTCTAGGATTCTCTCCTTCATTTTAATCTTGGCTAATGTAATTATGATGTGCCTTGGTGTGTTCCTCCTTGGCTTCACCTTCTTTGGGACTCACTGAGCTTCCTGGACTTCCTGGAAGTCTATTTCCTCTGCCAGAATGAGGAAGTTCTCCTTTATTATTTGTTCAAATAAGGTTTCCACTCATGGCTGTTCCTCTTCCCCTCTGGTACCCCTATAATTCAGATGTTGGAACGTTTAAAGATGTCCTGGAGGTTCCTAAGCCTTTCCTCATTTTTTTGAATTCTTGTTTCTGCATTCTTTTCTGTTTGGTTGTTTCTTTCTTCCTTCTGGTCCACTCCATTGATTTGAGTCCCAGTTTTCTTTCCATCACTATTGGTTCCCTGTGCATTTTCCTTCATTTCACTCAGTGTAGCCTTCATTTTTTCATCTAATTTGTGACCAAAATCAACCAGTTCTGTGAGCATTCTGATCAGCAGTGTTTTGAACTGTACATCTGATAGGTTGGCTATCTCTGTGTCACTTAGAAGTATTGGTTCTGGGGCTTTGAGCTGTTCTTCTGCTTGAGCCATAAAGTTTTTGTCTTGTTGTGCCTGTTACGTATTAGGGGAGGAGAGCCTTAGGTGTTCACCAGGGCGGGGCAACCCAGTCACTGGGTTGTGACGCTGTACATGGGGGCGGGGTCAGAGAGGGGAAAAATAGCACTTTGGTCCGCTCTCTGTGGCACCTCAGTCCCTTCCGCCACTTCACCCAAGCAAATTGGGTCTTTCTGGTGCTATTCCCATGCAGATGGGCTTGTGTGCATTCTAGGACCCTGTGGGTTTCTCCAACGAACTTTCCTGTGAGGGTGGGAGTCTACTTGTGCCTCAACCCCTATAAGTGTTTTCAATAGGTATTTTGAGTCTTTATTTCCCGGTGCTAGGACCCTGGGTTGCGAGATCTGTCTTGCTCCTCAGTTATCTGCCTGCGAATGTGGGACCACTGCCCAGTCAGCCAGCCACCTTGTGCACGGTGCCCTGCTTCTCAATTGCTGCCTCGCTGGGTCTGCCTGTTGCCACCCCATGCCCAGGGTCTGCCTGGTGCCGCCTTGCGTGCCCGGCGCCATCATTTCCTGTGCCGCGACCCCTCTCCGCTCCGCCGCCTGACTCCACCCTGCCCACCAGTCTGGATGAATGTGTCTATTTAACTCCTTGGTTGTTGGACTTCCATACAGTTCAGTTTTCTTTCAGTTTTGGTTGTTACTTTGTTTCTGAATTGTTGTTGTCCTTATTTTGGTTGTTCGAGGAGGTACAGTGTGTCTACCGACGCCTCCAACTTGGCCGGAAGTCAGAATTCTGCTTCTGTGT